TAACTTGACTACCCCTTGGCAGCCCATTTCCATAAATTGTACCCCTCATATTAGCAAAATGTTTGTAATTATTATAATTGTCATTTAACCCCTTAACGCCGTTACGGCATTTTATGCCGTCGAGGCTTTAAAGGGCTTTAAAGCCGTTGCGGCGGCATAGAACGCCGTAACGGATTTCTGCCCCAGGGGATCGCAGCTACTTACCCCCGCTGCGATCCTCTTCTGAAGGGCTGCCTGACCGCCCAGGCAGCCCTCCCCCGGCGAATGAGGCCCCCGGGGGCCATGTGATCGCTCTCAAAGAGCGATCACATGGCCCCCCATAGCTGGCTGTGGATCTGCCAGCAGGGGGACTGTCTGAAATGTCAGACAGTCCCCCTGCTGGTGGGAAAGTAAAAAAATTTAAATTAGACATGTTTTAAAATAAATTAAATACATTTATATATATATATATATATGTATATATATATATATATATATATATACAATTATATATACATATTATATATATATATAACGTCATACGTTGTGTATTTTAATACTAATATAAGTATATATATTAGTATTAAAATACACTTAGAATGACGTTACATATATATAATATGTATATATATTATATATATAATAGATATATACACATATATATATATATATATATACGTATAATTACATTAATAAATAAATAAAATAATAAAATAAATAAATAAAATATTGAAACAAAATTTTATAAAAATTATATATTCATATGTCAATTTCATTATAACTGTATTTTGTTATTAATATATATATTGGTAACAAAATACACTTAGAATGACATTCTATATATATCTATCTATATATAAAATACAAATAACCGCAAATATATATAGATAAATACATATAATTACATAAAAGATTACATTAGTATACACGTAGAATTTAAATGCCTATAAATGCATATATATTAAAATTCTACGTGTATATTTAAGTAATCTTTTAACATAATTATGTGATTTGATTAATTAAAATTTGATTGACATGCCTGACAACACAGGGAGAAAGTGCAGAGAATTTAATTTGCAAGCACTATATTTGACCCTGTAACTCTCCAAGACACCATAAAACCTGTACATAGGGGGTACTGTTTTACTCGGGAGACTTTGCTGAGCTCAAATATTAGTGTTTCAAACTGGTAAATTGTATTATAACAATGATATTTTAAGTAAAAGTGACGTTTTTGCATTTTTTTACAAGCAAACTGCACTTTTATGGACTATATTATTGTTGTAATATGTTTTACTGTTTTAAAACACTAATATTTGTGTTTAGTGAAGTCTCCCGAGAATAACAATACCCCCCATGTACAGGTTTTATTGTGTTTTGGAAAGTTGGAGAGTCACATATAAGGCTTGCATTTCATTTTTTTGACATTGAAATTTGCCAGATTGGTTATGTTGCCTTTGAGAGTGTATGGTAGCCCAGGAATAAGAATTACCCCCATGATGGCATACCATTTGCAAAAGTAGACAACCCAAGGTATTGCAAATGGGGTATGTCCAGTCATTTCTAGTAGCCTCGTTTTTTGCTTTTTTCACACAAAAATAAATATGAACACTAACTTTGGCCAGTGTTTGTGACTAAGTGGCTACTAAAAAAGACTAAACATACCCCACTTTCAATACCTTGGGTTATCTACTTTTTCAAATGGTATGCCATTATGGGGGTAATTCTCATTCCTGGGCTACCACACCGTCTCAAAGGTAACATTACTAATCTAGCAAATTTAAATTTGAAAATGGAACGTTCTATATTTGACCCTGTAACTTTCCAAAACACCATAAAACCTGTTAATGGGGGGTACTGTTGTACTCGTGAGACATCGCTGATTACAAATATGGGCCTTTTTTTGCAGTAATACCTAACAGTATTATGACATTCACAGCTAAAATGTCAGACGGAAATAAAAATTTTAAAAAAAAAATCTTATTTTCTCTTTTTTGTAAATTTTTTTTTCATAATAAATGATGTTCCATATATGAATAGTTAATGATAAATTAAAGCCCTGTTTCTCCTGAACAAAATGATATATAATAAGTGTGGGTGCACTTAATGTGACAGCGTTGAATTACGGGTGAACAGACATATAGCGCAAATTCCAGTTTTTGTTTACGTTTTGTTTTGATCAGAACGTGTACTATTGACTCCGTCCTGAAGGGGTTAACCCCTTAAGGACGGAGCCAAATGTACACGTTGTGAACAAAACAAAATGTAAACAAAACCTGGCATTTGCGCTACATGTCTGTCCAACCATAATTCACTTCTCTCATAGTAAATGCACCCTTATTATATATCATTTTATTCAGGGGAAACAGGGCTTTCATTTAATATCAAATATTTAGCTATGAAACATAATTTAATATGAAAAAAATGGGAGAAAATAAGATTTTTAAAAATTTTTTTAGTTCTACATGACATTTTAACGGTCAATGTCATAATACTGTTTGCTTTTACTGCAATAAAATACACATATTTGTATTCAGTAAAGTCTCGTGTAAGACAGTACCCCCTATGTGCAGGTTTTATGGCGTTTTGGGAAGTTACAGGGTCAAATATAGCACGTTACATTTGAAATTGAAATTCGCCAGATTGCTTACGTTGCCTTTGAGACTGTATAGTAGCCCAGGAATGAAATTTACACCCATAATGGCATACCATTTGCAATAGTAGTCTCCCGGTACAACAGTACCCCTCATGTACAGGTTTTATGGTGTTTTCAAAGTTACAGCGTCAAATATAAGGCTTGCGTTTCATTTTTTTCACATTAAAATTCGCCAGATTGATTACGTTGCCTTTGAGACCCTATGGTAGCCCAAGAATGAAAATTACCCCTATGATGGCATACCATTTGCAATAGTAGACAACCCAAGGTATTGCAAATGGGGTATGTCTAGTCTTTTTTAGTAGCCACTTGGTCACAAACAATGGCCTAAGTTAGTGTTAATATTTGTTTGTGTGTGAAAAATGCAAAAAAATTTGAATGCCAATTTTGGCCAATGTTTGTGACTAAGTGGCTACTAAAAAGACTTGACATACCGCATTTGCAATACCTTGGGTTGTCTACTATTGCAAATGGTTTGCCATCATGGGTGTAATTTCCTTCCTGGGCTACCATACGGTCTCAAAGGCAACGTAACCAATCTGACAAATTTCAATGTGAAAAAACTGAAACACAAGCCTTATATTTGACTCTGTAACTTTTGAAAACACCATAAAACCTGTACATGTGGGGTACTGTTAAACTCGGAAGACTTCACTGAACACAAATATTAGTGTTTCAAAACAGTAAAACGTATCATAACAATTATATCGTCAGTCAAATTTTATTAAGAAAATCTCATAATTATGCTAAAAGACTACTTAAATATACACGTAGAATTTTAATTTATTTATTTTATTATTTATTTTATTTATAAAATATTTTACCAGGAAAGATACATTGAGATTTCTCTCGTATTCAAGTATGTCCTGGGTCCACAAATATGTTTTTAAATTCTATGTGTATACTTATGTCATCATTGATGTAATTATATATATATATATATATATATATATATATATATATATATTGTCATTCTAAGTGCATTTTGTTACCTATATATATATTCGACTTTAATAACAAAATACAGTTGAAATTACATATGTATATATAATTTATTTTCATTTAAAAATATATATTTTATTTATTTATTTTATTATTTTATTTATTTATTATTGTAATTATATGTATATATATATAAATATAAAATATATATATATATATATGTAACTTCATTCTAAGTGTATTTTAATACTAATATATGTACTTATATTAATATTAAAATACACTGTGTATGACGTTACATATATATAAGATGTGTCTATATAACCCACCCAGAATCCTTTGCAGTTGTAACATCACTGCTGATTTGGAATTTCTGTGGGAAAAGCAGGTCTTATGGCTTGACTGGTGTGCAGATTTTTGTTTAGCATTGTATTAACTATCCACATACTTCAGGTGGAAGGGGTTTTCAATCACAATTTTTCCCCACCATAACCTATTTGGATTTTGCTTCCCAAGCACTACCAAGCCTCAATAAGCAAACCAGTAACCAACCTCATGCTGAAGAGTTGCATTAACAACGAAACAGCTGTCCATGAGTGGTTCACTGGTTTTGCATCTTATCCTAAATTGTGTTCCAAGCAGTTGTATACTGCAAACACAAATTAAAAGGAATCCATGTTTAAAATGGAATGAGGCAAAAATGTGATTCTTTGTTAAACTAATTTGCATATGCCCACCCAGAATCCTTTGCGGTTGTAACATCACTGCTGATTTGGAATTTCTGTGGGAAAAGCAGGTCTTATGGCTTGACTGGTGTGCAGATTTTTGTTTAGCATTGTATTAACTATATTATATATATATATATATATATATATATATATATATATAATATATATATTTTATATATATATATATTTAATTTATTTTTCTCTTTGAGAACGATCACATGGCTCCCAGGGGCTGTGGGAGGGCTGCTTGGACTGTCAGGCGGTCCCCCAAAGAGGATCGTGGTGGAGGTAAGTACCGCGGGCCTCCTGGGGGCTTAAGCCATTATGGCATTGTATGCCGCCACAACGGCTTTAAAGCCCATTTAAATGGGGACGGCATAGAATGCCGTAGCGGCGTTAAGGGGTTAATATTTAAATGTTTCTCTCTGCCCAATCTCCCCCTTTTCTTTGCCCCAAGCACTGCCTGCTCTTCTTTGCCCCAAGCGCTCCCTGCTCTTCCTCTGCCCCAGGCTCTCCCTGCTCTTCCTCTGCCCCAGGCTCTACTACCCCAGGCTCCCCCTATTTCTCTTCTGCACTAAGTATATGTATGTAAAAAACAGATAAAATTTGTATCTTGTAATACCTTTTTTATTGGACTAACAGAATTTTTTAATGACAAGCTTTCGGGAGAACCTCCTTTTCTCAAGTCTGAAACAGTTCTGAGCCAGACAACACATAGAAATCAAAGTTGAGTTGTGATACAGGGGTTTAAGCGACATGAGTTCAGATAAGACAGGTTTGATAGACCAAAGACACCATTCTTGCAGAGGGTCGTAAATATCTTATGTGAGGATCGCAGGGTGAAGGGGGAGAGAGGGGGAGAGAGAGAAAAAAACAAGCGAACAGTGCAGAAGATGGTGTTAGAAGAATGCATGAGTTCCCATCCAAGAGTTACAGGATATGCATGAAAGCCTATATCCAGCATACACAGAGACACGTACATACTCACACTCATGTACATATACCTATACACAAGTAGTGCATATATACAAGTATACACAAGAACATACACACTATACCCAAGTACATACAATATACATATATATATATATATATAGCCAAATAAAAAACAAAAAGGGTCAGCGCTGAATAAAAGAAAAGAAAATAAGGCAGCAAGCCTAAGAAGTGGATCTCTCTGAACCCTTCAAAGTAACAGAAAAGAAAAGAAAATGGAGAAGGGCTGCGCCACAGAAAAGAGGTGCAAAAATATATAATGAAATATAATTCTAATAAAATATAATAAACAGGATAAAAATAGTCTCTAGATAAAATAAATATAAAGATAAAGTCCAGCTTTAGTATCTTGGTTCTTTATACTTGAGTGGTCTTCATTATATATTTTTGCACCTCTTTTCTGTGGCGCAGCCCTTCTCCATTTTATATACAACCAAATGCCTAAATATATGTACATGCACACCTACACATACATCCACACACAAACACCAATACATGTACCTACACATATACCAATGTGCCTACACATACAAAGACCCATATATATGTATATGTACATAGACACCCATTCACATATACATACATGTATGCATCTATATATACACTTTATACATACACACACACACACACACACACACACAAATACACATATGTATACGCATACACATAAATACATGAGCACATATACATATACACAAACACATATACATACATGAACTCATCTACACAAATATAAATGAACAGTCACATATACAAGCATACATGCCTAAGTGTATGGGAAAGCATAGGTCTATACATAGTACTTTGTATATAGATGGAACAAACATATTGGAATGCATAATAAAATGTTGATACATTTGACAGAACAGAAAAATAATACTGGGGGAGTGTTCATGTATGTATGTCCTAAAGAGAGTCCCCTGACAAACCATTGCATCCTTGTGGATTTTATTCCAAACAAATGTCAAAGGCTGAAAGAAACTACGATATCGGCAACAGGAAACTTCTTGCCATCATCGTAGCACTCAAGGAGTGGAGGCATCTCCTGGAGGGTTCAAAGGATCCTGTTATCATTTTAACGGATCATAAGAATCTTTCATATTTAAGCAAAGCCAAGAGGTTGTCTTCTAGACATGGGAGGTGGTCTCTGTTTTTATCACGCTTCAATTATGTCATTACCTATAGACCTGGTGACCGCAACACCAAAGCAGATGCTCTCTCTAGGCAGTTTGAAATTACTGATAAACAAAAATTTGATGTTACTCCTGTCATACCAACTGACAG